TAACGCAACAGCTCATAAGACTCTAACCAACAATGAAAAACTCTAGAATGACAGTCTCGACACAATCGAAAGAAGGCTTGGTTCCACATGATGAACAAGAGAGTGAAAGAGCACCTTTATATGTGGCTAGAGCATATTCTGTGTCAGCAGCACCTTAGGTGTTGCACACAAGGCAAACACAACTTCAACTTGAACTGTGAGTTAACATACAGAAAGCATTGCAACAAGCCAAGCATATCGTGCTTGAAACACAATTCATTATCAGCAAAACTACAAGCAGCTTCATGAATCAAACGTGGCCAAATCTCTTGTCTTGAAACACAACTCTGTGAAGCAAGATTATGACATGTAGATCTAACCATTTGGAGGAAGAACTATTCCTCTTCTGCAAACAAAACAGCAATATGACATCCATAACAGCAACTAATGGAGACCTCCATTCCATTTTCCCCATAGGTGCTTTAACATGGAAGTGAAACTGAAGAAATCTATCACTTAATGAAAAGCTTCGTTCCATTCGTCTTCCATATGTTCTAACACAAGAGTGAAACTGAAGTAATCTCTCAATAACAAAGGTCAACAACACCTAAAAAACAGCAAGCTTCTGGCTTGGCAAAGAGGCTTAAGTGTTGAACCAGAACAGCCATTATAGTGACATGAAAGCCATCAAAAACATCAGCTAAAAGAGAAGGTATCATTCGCAATCTCCTGAAGCTCTTGAATATCTTCTTACCAACATCACAAACCAGAGATTCCAAGTGTAGAAGGTCACAGAAATCAACTTCACAAATGTCTAAGCAGCTTATCTCATTAGCAAACTTAAGATTCTCCCTTTGTCTTGAAAGATTTTGATGCCTAAAACTACCTTCTGAAATCATACACAATTCGTGAACCACACCACAACAATCACTAGATATCTCAACAAATGATTTGAATCTGGTGAGCTTGCAGAGGTTAGAAATGAGAAACATACAATCCATGTTGCATTCTCTTGAAACCAACTTCATATATGGTCTCAATGTGAAAACCAGATGTGCTAGCAACATGACTAACCATCCTTCAACCATTCCATATTCTAGACTATGTTGAAAACATTCTAAGCAAAGCTCCATCTCTCTAAGAACAAATTCATGTGTAGAAATTCTACATAGCAAATCAACATCACTAATATAAAGATATCTATAATCCATATGTTTAGAGAGAGAGTGCAAAAACCAAGCGCATACCACATGAGATTGTAAATCGGGTGACCGTGAAAGAGAACCATAGAGAAAATCCATCTTTAACATCAGCTTCAACAAAAACTTTCCTTCAAACAAATCGCCATAGCTAAGCTCGCCGGAATCGCAAATCAGAGATTCGGAGCAGATCGACGGAGAACTCGATGAAGAAACCAGATTTGTTGCTTCCAATGTCAAACAAAACACAAACGAAACTCAATTTCACAACCAATCGAAGAAAATGAAAGAGAATCAAAGAGATCGAACGAAAACCAGAGATTTGATGGAATGATCAAATCGAACGGACGAAACTAAGATTTGACGGAATAATCAAATCAGAGCTCGATCTCAAGACGGGGGAACAACCGTACAACAAAAATGATGATTTTCCGGCGGAATAACTGTAAAAGCAATCGGAAAAGAAAGATTAACGCAGGATCGAAAGAGATTTTCGATCTCTTGCTCTGTTACCATCTTAGGAACTCAGATTCTGATATTGAACAGAAACCATCTCACTCACTCGTCGAACAAGATCGAGAGAGAAAGGGATTTGGAAATTGTAATTTGTTTCTGCTAACGATTCAACAAGAGCAATACAGCCTTAATATAGCTTTGGTTTAGCACATGAGTCTTAACCAATTCACAACTTAGCCGGAACAAACCGGGTTTACACATTTCACTCTAATAGTTTTTTTTTTTACAATTTGATAAATTACCTCTTTTTTTATTAAGTTTTAAATATTTTTTACGTCTTTGAAAAAGAATTATGTTTACGTGGTAAATTTTTCTTTTAGTGATTTTTATTATTTAGCGATATTCGACGCAAGTGTTTCCGTTAATGAATTATTCGACTATATATTCTACTCCATATGTACCAATTAACGATTTAATTCTACGATAAATAAATAATTAGTTAGTGAACGTAAATGTATAAACCAACTGCTAACAATGTTAAGATTAAGAAATTATTCATGAAATAGTTGATTCTCGGTAGTGAACATTCTCGAAGTAGCCGTATAAATTAGGGATGAAATCTTTTAATTTATGGAGTTGTACGACTGTAAATGTTTTAACGACAAAATCAAAGTTTTATAGAGTTTGGTGGTAGTTATAATTATTGTAAACCCAGATTGAAAGTTTCTTGAATATTCTAAAAAGAAAAAAGGTAATGAAATTAAACTCTCTTTTTAACATTAACCCAAAATAATGTTATACTTTCTTATAAACTTAGTAATACTGAAAAAAAAAAAAAAACTTTGTAATACTGTATAAAATACATATACGAATGTGGTGGACCTGTGGTAGCTTTCGTCTGATCATCTTGTAAAGACTAGTTCGTTTTTGGTGTTTAGATATTTGCAGACCATTTTGCGGTTAACCATCAAATAAAAGCAAAAATACAAACGTTTTATAGATCTAGCGTGACTTTGGTAGGGTAGACCATAATATGGATCAAAGAGGACATGATTCTCACATTTTTTTCAAACATCAAAACGTTAATCCTAATTTGATTGGTACTGGATTGGATTAGACCCCACCAGATCAACCCACAAATATTTAGCACAAGACACTAATTCAAATCAAGATCTTACATTTCGTTAGACAAATGGATTATATATATATATTTATAAAGTTATATTCATGTAAATACGGTGCATACTTTGCATACATATTTTTTTTAATGTGATAAAGTTATATATATATATAAAGTTATATTCATGTAAATACGGTGCATACTTTGCATACATGTGTTTTTTTAATGTGATAAAACCAATG